AATAATTCATGTACTATTTTGCATCCTGCCTTTTCACTTAATGTCAGGGCTTAAGGCTTTATTATAAACCCCTCATCGTTATAAACACTGCTTCAACAAGAGACAAGAGACATCTTTTCAAATCAAATTATCTTCTGACCCCAAAAATCAAATCCATAGCAAGTTGGGTGTTTGTTAGGGTTTTTTTTTTTTTTTCCTTCTTGGTGGTTTTAAAAAATCCACAAGACCCCATTATTCAAAGTTTATATCCAGGCTCATTTTTCCACTGAAAACCGTAACTAGCAATCAACAGCAAATAAAATGAGAGCCTAAAACTTGCCTGATTCTGTTCAAATAGCTGTATGCTATGGCTTGTTGTGCATGAAGAACAACAGAAGCACAGCTCTACCAATCATTCCCTTCATCACAACTTCTGTCACTTTTACAGGCTTGCACTTACAGCCAGGTCTAGTTAGTCCAGAACACAAAGACCCAGTATAAAGCATGTAAGTAATGTTTTTAAATTCCACAAGAAAGAACAGTTCGTTAACTGAGGAAATACACTTTAACACAGGAATGGAGCATATTGGTGTAATATGAAGTTAGAGGATCTAGCCTTAGGTTTCTCGTGTGTAAGATTAGAAGACTAAACACTTATTTACGGTGTTAGAACTATTGACATCACTGTTATTAATTAGAGAATGTGCATGAAACAGTGCATGAGAAATCATGAAAACCCACTCCGTTTTATAAATGCAGTAGAGCCATGGACTCCTAGGAAAGAACCAGTCTTGGAGGTAAGCTGTTCTTAAACAAAGACACTAGGACCAACTGACTCCAAGAGAGTTCCTGCAGCAGGGCCAGTGTGTTCTAAGATTTTGCCTATGACGAGCAGAAGGCAAACATCTTTGCATGGTCCTGTTGTTTTAAAAACTCATTCCCCAACCAAAAAACAAACAGAAAACCCAAAAAGCAAATCTAACACTGTTATTCTAGTATTGGAGGAAGGTCTCCGTGACTCCAAGAATGAAAAGCAATCACCTAATTTGTAATAATTCTATACTCTTTCTGTACTACATTTCTTTTTCTTTTTTCTTTTTTCCAGTACTACATTTCAAGTTATATTTCCATCCTTCGTAACCCCAGAGGAATTAAATTAATTCTCACACCCTTCTCTTGGATTAGAAGTGCACTGTGGTTAATGCTGCATTAGCAGAAGCAAATCATTTTTTGGAAAAGGCAGGGAATTGAAAATTAAATAAACATGCACTACTTAGAGAAAGTCACCCCCAAAAAGTGAAATAATGTTAGATCCGGCCTCCCAGCAGAAACATCCTAATCAAGAACTACTGAAGAAGCATTTCATGGCACCAAAACATTTGGAAAGAAGCATATTGTTTATTTTCACAGTGTTGGTTGAAAAGTCTTTCTAAATATGTCACATTAAAAACCAGAGTCTCATCTACTTGAAATGGACTGCTGATTAACTTTAGCTTCCAATCTGGGGTTAATATTTTTAGGACAAGCCACCATCCTTTCTAAAATTTTTTCTCTTTCATCTTTCTGCACAGTGCGTTATATTGGGTTGTATAAATACAGTGCTCATTATATCTTAGAGCTTCTGGAGAACATAGCCATCTCTCATGTCTCCACATTGCAGAGGACCTGTGAGAGAGAACTTACCTGAACTGTCTTTTCACCAGAGTGGGTAAAGAGATTTGCCAGAAGGAGACTTTCATTCCATGTACTACCTTCTTACAAATAGGTATCAAAATATAAGAGGAACCTCAGCATTATTTTCAGGATATAAAATATTGGCTTGATAATTTGCTCTACCAGGTATTTGATTTTGTTTTCAATTACCTCTTTTTCAAAATATTCATTCTTTCTCGTTTATTGAGACAGAGTATCTTGCTCTGTTGCCCAGGCTGAAGTGTGGTGGTGCAGTCATGGCTCACTGCAGCCTTGACTTCCTGGACTCAAATGATCCTCCCACCTCAGGCTCCCAGGTAGCTGGGACTACAGGCATGCATCACCACATCCAGCCAAGTTTTTAGTTTTTTGTAGAGACAGGGTCTCTTTACCATGTTGCCCAGGCTTGTCATGTCCTGTTCTCAAGAAATCTTCCTGCCTCAGCCTCCCCAAAGTGTTGGAATTATAGACATGAGCCACCACGCCAGCCTAATTTTTTATTTTTATTTTTTGTAGAGACAGGGTCTCACCATGTTGCTCAGGCTGGCTCAAACTCCTGGGCTCAAGTGATCCTTCTGCCTCAGCCTCTCAAAGTGTGGGGATTACAGGCATGAACTACCATACTTTGCCCAATTCCTAAATTCTTAAAGCATTTAGTGATAGTATTGATTCCTGGTGCCTAGTAGTCTTAAGGCAACATTTTTGTATTCTTATCCTGGGAAGTGCAATCATTATTCAGTAGCAGCCTACCCCCTTCTTGTAAAACAAAAAAGAATTTATTATTCAAAATTGAGCAGTATGCAAAAAAAACCCAATTCATTACATATTAACTGATTAACATTTTTTCGCAAAGAGAATTGGATGGGTCTGATTCCCTGTCTTTAGGAATGATTCTCGTGTGCATCTTCTCTGTCCTCAGATGCATTGTTCAGACACATTTGCTTTCCTTGATAAGGGGGGATGTGGCACAGGGCCCAGTTGATGAATCTTCTGAGTCATTTAGCCCAGATTTCTCCATTCTGATTTTTCTTGGAAAAAAGTTTTCTGTATATTGGCAGCTGAGTGAGGCCCTTAGCCAGAATCCTTTTAATCAATTCTTTAATGTTGCTAACTGCTAAATTAAAATTTTGGAAGTGGGTTTTTCCTGTTAGATGGATTCATTCTTGGCTCAGAACCAAATCCTATGGATATGTAAGATGTGTGTACGTCCCAGTGTTTGTAACCTGAGAATTTTATTTAACCCGTCATTTGAATCTACAGTAATCTGGTGTTGGGGAGGAATAGGATCTTTATCAACAAAGGGCTGCCAAAACCCCAACTGCTTCTTGAGTAGCTGTAATAGATGAATAATGTTACAACCAACCGTGCATTTCAAGTTTTGCTCAAAAGGCTTTTCAGCTAATGCTAGTGGTATTTCATATCTATGTGTTCATCTCAGAGTGCAGTAGTTTCCATCTGACTTTTATTACCTTTCTTGAGAGGATCAACTTTACAACTGGAATCAGAAAAGCAGTCAAAGTCATTGCAAGTGGCAATCAGTGAAATATAACAATTTTAGCTTGGGAACATATGTTTCATTATAAGGAAAAAAAATGGTTACCCTATGATTCCAAGACTCATATTTCCCAGGGTAGAAGGGATCATGCACAAGTTCTAGTGTACCTCCCATATCATGCTGATATTCCTCTAAAGTGCTTATTCCCCCCTACACAAAAAAAAAAAAAAAATAAAAAAAAAAAAAAAAAGCTCATGACCTTTCAGGGAAACTTAACTCCCTTTTTGATTCTGACCACTTGAAAATGCTTTATTGTTTCTGTAGTTACATCTTTCAGAATTTAAAACTTGGAACTCAACAGAGTAAATCTAAACCTCTCTTCTTCTCACAGGCAGCTCTCATCCCAATTCCTACCCTTTCCTTTGCTAGGCTATAATATACATTCTTTCTCATATGGAGTGGCTATGATTCCCTTAATAACTGTGGCTACTCTACTTGGAAGAAGCTCAAATTTGCCTCTATCTTTCTTAAAGGCATGTGCTGATGGAAAACTAGGGTTTAAATCATAATATCTACATTAAATTACATTTCTGCTACTGATTACATGTTGGAACTGGGGCAAATTATTTACTCTTTTTTTGTCACTAGGGTAGCAAAGGTGAATAAAAGAGACGTGGTCAAAACAGGCAATAAGTAAATTAACAAACAATATAATTACAACCTGTAATCAGTAGTATAAAAGGGCTGTCAAGGGAGTTCTGATGTCTCAGGATACTCCAGGGCAGGTCTTCTGGGATGGAGGCTGGGTGTTTTATGATGGGAAGGAGACAGAGTATATTCTAGGATGTGGATTGCACTAAGGGGGGAAATAAATGTTTTCTAATCATTGAAGCAGGCCAGTGTCTAGAGTTTTAAAGGCAAGCAGGTGAGTGGAATCAGATGAGTCTGGGAAGTGGCAGAGCTTTGTAAGCGATGTTCAGAGTTTGGATTTTATTTGAAGTATAAGGGGAAGCCATTGTTGGGTTTGAAGAAGTTACAGTGTCTGAAATAATTTTTTTAAAATTGCTCTCATGTTAGATAGAGAATAAACTGGAGAGGACAAAAGTAGAAGTTCGACATCCAATTAGGAGGCATTTTTCGTAATCCAAGAAGTTCATGTGCTGCTTACAACAAATCATGAGTTTTAAATGAGAAGCAATACTTTACAGAGGTCAAGACACATACGAGTAGCCTATGATTAAACCTGACTCCACCAGTTTGAGCAGCTTGCTCAAGTTTCTTTAACTTCTTTGCACCTCAGTTTTCTCCTGACAGGACTCATGACAGGACTTACTGCAGAGTTGTTGTAAATATTAAATGACTTTATATATAAGTTTCCTGTTAACTAAATCTACAAAAATTTTTCACTATTATGGTGTGTTCCACCCTATTTTGTATTTTCAGACTCAGGCATTCTTTTATCTAGTTTTTGTCTGGGAAGCACATGGATGAGGAATGTTACCAGATTGTTTATTATTCTTTGCAAACTATTTCCTTGCCAGTGCAACAGAGAAAACCAACAACCAGTGAAAGAAAAGTCGTTCTATGGACCATCTATTGTATTTTTTCTTTGTCATATTATGAAGACCTGACACTTTTTTTCAATACATTTTTTTTACATGATGGTTCTAATAGGGCCTTTTTTTTAAATCTTGCTTAAAACCCGACCTTCAATATATTGCGACTCCTCTAGTGTAAGGTGGAACAATAAGATAACACTGCCATTAGGTCATGTCCCAGGCTATTTCCTCTTGTGATGTGCTCACCTGGTTGAATAACACTCCTTGTTTTCCAGGGATCCCAGGAAGTGACTATGTGAATGCCAACTACATAGATGGCTATAGGAAACAAAATGCCTATATTGCAACACAGGGATCTCTCCCCGAAACATTTGGGGACTTTTGGAGAATGATATGGGAACAACGGAGTGCCACAGTTGTCATGATGACAAAACTAGAAGAAAGATCAAGGGTAAGAATAAGTATCCACCTCTTTCATTTTAAAACTTTTCCCTCAGAGTCCCTATGTTGCATATTTTATTCTGTTCAGAATCTAACCTTTCCCTAAGGCTTAACTTTCTAACAGATACTAATTATGAATGGGCATCAACAACTCTAATTAAACCATTCTTTAAAACTCCTCTGGGTCTTTTCAAAAAAGAAATTCTCCCATGTTATGATGTGTGTGGTTGCTAAAAGGAAAAAAAAAAAAGGAATATTCATGGGAATAGACAACTTCGTTAGATAAAATAAATATTAACTTGAACCTCTTTCAAAAACACCATTGAACAAGAACGCACGGGCTTTGGGGAGAATCCCACCAATATGTACTTCCACTGTTTTCAACTTTTTCTTTCTTATAATCTGCAACGTAAGACTTAAATTCTGTGAAAGAGGCACTTGCTTAAATTTTTCACATTAGTATAAATTAAGTCAGGGCAGCTGGAAAAATGATGTGGCTGAATACATGGCTGAGAAAACACATAAATGCATAGAGGGCGTTTTGCTAGTTTAAACTTCCCCAAAATGAGTAGATTTTAATAATGGAGTCATTGCTTGGTAAGGTCCAAGAAAAGAGTTTTATTCATCATATGAATCCAATATTATGGTGCATAGCACATTAGTTAAATGCTGTTGGTTTGAAGGACTAAAAAATACTGGGTAAGCAGTGTACCGTATCCCTGAGGACATGTGTACATATTGTAGCATCTGAAGAAAATCAACCTTTAACCTTGAGAAATTAATGAAGGGATCTCTGAAACTTCATTGAAGATAGCAGATACTTTCATTGAAGAATGGGGACATTCAAGACAGAATTTGTAAACCACAAATGAGAGGTCTCTTTTACTGTGGTTATAGTAGTCTCAAAAAGGATATTTATAAGGAAGAGAGCCTGATTCCCCATTTACTGTGTGAGAGTTGAGGTTCTGTAAATGTTCTTCTAAGCTCAACACATGGCGGTTTCTCTAAGCCTGGGTATGTATATGAGGGACAATTTAAAAGCTGCCCAAGAGATTTATAAAGGAAAAGCTCAGACAGAAAAATACTAAAAAGCCACAACTGTAACCTCAAAGGTGGGAAATCAAAAGTAGTGATAAATGGTTGGTTTAGCAAAATTGAAAAGCAATTAGATCTTTTCAAAACATCTGAATTGTATAGAGATGTTGACATATTGTCTAAAATGGGAATTAAGATAAAAATGACGCTGAAGACAAATATCTGTCATACTTTACATGCAAACCCCATTCAAAAGATGTAAATGGATCTGTTACCGATTTGTACTTAAGGTAACTCCTATGTAGCAAGCAGTTTCCTTAAAAACAGCTCCCCCTCCAAGCGATCTTGGATATCATAGTTAATAACTATAATAATGTCTAACATATTAGGTGCATTGATATTTCAAAACAGCCCTTTTCAAGAAACACTACTATGACCTCCAGTTTCCATATGAGTACACTGGGGCCCAGAAAAGTACAGAAGCTTTGCCCAAGGTCATCCAGTTACCAAGGTTGGGGATAGGAATTGAAGACAGACCGTCTGGCTCCAGAACACACGTGCTTCACCATCAAGCCATACTGCCTGTTGACACTTCTGTGAAGCTGAGACAGCTGAACTATTATATTACGGCATGCATGTAAATCCAACCTACCCAGTCTGTTCTGCCTGGAGATAACTGCTGGTAACAAGCAGTCATTTGCAAAAGCTGTTTTCAGTAAAACACACATTTTATCTTGACACTGCAGGCCTTCATTAAACTGTGCACAGAAACTTGTTTTGAAATAACCAAATGAAATTCTGCCCCTTTTCTCCCTAATTGCTTCTAATAATAAAGTTAGTTCTAACTGGCCCCACTACCACTGCAACATCTGATGGTAATGAGCAGTTCTTGGCGAAGGCATTGTGACTTAAATACCTACAGTTTATCTTTCTGTTGCAGGCTACCTTCTCCCGCAACCCCCCTCAGCCAGAGGAACTTATTTGGAAGTTACTAAATGAACCTCTGTTTGCTCCCTTCATTAATTACTCTTTGCTCTTGGAAGTTAGCTTTCTCCTTTGTTAAAATGGCCTAAGGAGGCCAATTAAAATGCTGTCTTGTGATTTTTATTCTGTGGTGGTTCAGCCTGTACCCAGATTTGTGATGACCTGCATAAGCCAATAGGCGGTTGGGTGGTCTCAGCCGCCATCAATCTGACAATACGTATGAGCCCTGGCCCCCAAGGCCCAAAAGTCCTTTGTTCTCCAGTCTAGAACACTTGGGACTAACTGACCAAATGTCCTGGAGAGATTTAACAAAGCAATGGAGCTTACTATTATCTCATCTGCTTTTCCATCTGCCTCCCTCCCATCAGTCCGATCTCACCCTTTCCCTATCCAGTTGCTCTTTTACCTAAAGTAGCAGGAAGAAAGGGGAAAAGGCATTCCTGGATTCCCAAACAAGAGCTTGAATTGGTTTTCACTATAAAAACAGTGTTATAAATAGGGGTGAGCTGTTAGTGAAATCTATACCTCCAGACTTTAGGAACATGGTGGGTTCTGTGGGCTGACCTTGGGACTCATTGAATTCTCAATTCCCAGCAGCCAACTTCAAAGCAAACATTGGAACTAGCCTGGCCCTATGAAGGGAAGTGGCACCAGTCTTCCTCATAAAGGGAGGTGGTCCAGGTACTGTAAACAAATTACCTCTCCAAGAGCTGAAGCTTGAAATGTCATTATTTAGATTAAGGCTCAGGTTCTTAAAATAATATTCATTCCCATGGTACATGAAGAAAATATGTGTGTGTGTTGTAAATGCTTCTGTGAATTAGAAGTATGCTAGACTGCCGCTGACCATAGATTTGCAGCAAGGAAGAGAGGAGAAAAGGAAAGAGAAGATAGCTTGATATTACACAAGACCGCATGGGGATACCACCATGAGACAGGACAGCTACAGGACAATTCCAAGTAGGGCACTTTGCAGTCAGATGTCTGAGTTCAAATACCAACTCTTGCCCCTAGCTGTGTGACAATGAGCGAGTTTACTTGACTCCTCAAATTCTCATTTTTCCTTTTTTGGATTATGTGGAAGGGTTATTGTGGGTATTGACTGAGATAAAGGATCTGGCCAAGTGGCTCAGTGATTCTTAAATGGTATTGTTTGGTAAAGCAGTTGGGGGCTTTACAGTGACAACTTCAGTTTCCCCAAAAGATAGCCTCCAAATAATTCACTCTTTGTTCCCAAATGAAAAGAGTTTGTTTCTCTGTGGTTGACGATGAATCCTGACCAACCTCTACATGTCACTGAATATGGTTAATTGTGCCCACGTTTCCCGGTGTGGCACACCCATGCATTTTAGTCAAGAGGAGAGTGGAGCTCAGACCACTGGATTCTTTTCCACTTGCTTTTCCCTAGAACAGGATCTCCAGAGTAGTGATCAGCCAGGGAACAGACCAAAATAGAACATTCTGGCTGCTGCATTGACAATAACACAACATGAAAATCGTAAGTGATATAGACATGGGTTACATGTAGTGATAAGTGCCACTGAAGATACGTTTCCTTATGGTTCAGTTTTACATTCCCTCTCCTCTTTTTTGGTTATTTTATAGTGCTAGAGAATTCTCCTGCCTTAGAGCCCATCTCTCTTTTCAAGCTTTCTGTTTTGCCACAGCCTGGTTCACTTGTTTTTGTTTTTCTTTTAGAGATAGAGTCTTACTCTGTTGTCCAGGCTACAGTGCAGTGGTGTGATCACAGCTCATTGTAATCTAAAATTTCTGGACTCAAGCAATCCTGCCTGAACAGCAGGGACTACAGGTGCACAGCACCACCCCCAGCTAATTTTTAATTCTTTTGTAGAGACAGACTCTCACTTTTTTGCCTAGGCTGGTCTCAAACTCCTGGCCTGAAGCAGTCCTTCCACCTTGGCCCCCCAAAGTGTTTGGATTACAGGCTTGAGCCATCCCGTGCCTGACTGGCTCATTCTTAAGTTGTCACTCAGGTCTGAGGTTTATCAACAGCGCTTGTATTAATATCTTTGGTGGGTTAGAACAGCTGACTGAGACAAAAGGCTGCTGGGTTCCTTAGCAGGTGTTAGAAGTTTCACTAGCATCTGTTTTGAGCACTGATCATTCTTAGTATTTGCATGGCTAAAGAAACCCTTGTAAGTGTGAAGTATGACTTAGGACTTAAGTTGATTATTTGAAAACAAGAGTTCTTTGATTTTCAAATGTTATTACTTCCCTTCAAATGTGGCCTTTAAAGAATTCCAGACTTAACTGAGAAGACTTTTTGCCTGTTGTATACGTTCAGCTATCAACCCTGAAGGAAAAGTATAAGTTGAATATTTCATATGAGTTTCATTAGGGTATATAAAGAAATAAAAAAACAATGGGCTGGGTGCAGCGGCTCACGCCTGTAATCTCAGCATTTTGGGAGGCCAAGGGGGGCAGATCACCTGAGGTCAGGAGTTCGAGACCAACCTGACTAACATGGAGAAACCCCATCTCTACTAAAAATACAAAATTGGCCAGGCATAGTGTCACACGCCTGGAATCCCAGCTACTCTGGAGGCTGAAGCAGGAGAATCGCTTGAACCTGGGAGGCAGAGGTTGTGGTGGGCCAAGATTGCACCATTGTACTCTAGCCTGGGCAACAAGAGTGAAACTCCATCTCAAAACAACGACAAAAACTAAAACTAAAAACAATGATAGAAGCTGGAGATTCTGAAGGGAAAGCATGACTGCTGCCTGAAACACACAGATCAGTTTAAAGCTGTTGTAGAATGTACTGTGTAATATGAAATACTGTTAGTGGGTTTTTTTTCCCCACAGTTTCCATCTTTATTGCCAAATCCTCTCAAGTTTTGCGTAGTGCCTTGATTCTGTAGCAAGTCATTCTAGTGCCCTAGAATGTGGTTTCTAATTGTTTCCATGTTTCATAACATGCCAATAAGCACATGAATTGGCCTGGGCAACCACATGGAAGGAGGAAAATGT